GCGACTAGCGATGGTCGTTCTATTGTTTTTGGTTCTACAGGCGGTGCAACACGGGATTTCTGGGTTTCAAGGTTTCAAAGAGATTCAAAGCCTTTTTCAATACGCTCTGATACCATCTTCTAATTCAGAGAAAAAATATGGGGATTAAAATTGTATTCGAATTATTATTCACTGATGGGGCTGGATAAAATTTATAGAATACAAACCTAGTTAAATTAGGTAACTAATTATACAATAATCGGGAAACTAATTACCTACATATTAGCTCTAAATCAAGGGATAAATAGTCAATCCTACAACTATACAATCTGTACAATTCCGGATTACAAGAGAAAAAATCTCAACATGTAGTTGTGGAGTTGTTGCATTTATGATGTCCAGGCCTTTAGGTCACTTCTGTTGCTGTGTTTCTCCCTTGGTGGTTTTCATTGCAGAGCTTTGGCTCTCGTTCTCAACAAATCTGGAACCCGTTATTCATTTTTCTTGTTTTGTTTCAAGATTTGTATGCCTTTTTCTAGCTTGGTTTTTTGCCTTTGTACCGTCGTTGATGGTTTGGCATTGGTGCCTTTACAATATAAAAAAATAAAAAATAAAAAATAAATAAATGATTGGACTCAATTGAGCCCAAAATAAAATTAAATTCCATTATATTTATGTATATAATACTAAAAATAATTGATTATATTTAAATAAGTATTGTATTAGTGACTGGTATCACTAACTGATTAAATATTGATACGCAGTGATATTTACTAAAATAAAATATTTTTACTTATGTATCAAGATACAATTAGTTAATAACACAGATAAAAAAATATTAAGAGCCGAATGAAAGTCTTTCTCATTTTATCATTAAAAATTAAATAATAACAACAGGAATAATAATCATCACCACCTTGTACACAATTCCTTACCACATCATCCCTCAATTCATAACCCCCCTTGCATTTTTCCTCACAAGTCTCAATCCATTATCAAAGTACACTACCCACCGTACTCTTTTAAGTAACCACCCAATCATAACTCATTTATCATCTATTCATAAAAGGGCTACAATGGCAAATCAAATATAATACAAGTCAATCTAATAACACTAAGGTTGGTAATTTGTATTCGTAAGTCATAATCATGTCGTGTCAATTTAAAGATATTATAATAAATAATTCAATCCGAACACGATCCATTTAATAATCGTGTCAAGAACTCTTAATACTAATTCGACCTGTTTATTAAACGAGTTACACGAATAATTCATTTAATGACCTATTTACAAAAAATAAATAAAAATTATATTACTTAAATTATTAATAATACTCAATAAAACAATAAATACTAGAAAAATATAAATTTTAATCAACCAAATTACTAAATAATCTTTAAGTTACAAAAGATTAAACTATAAGACACAAGTTTATATAATAATTTTGAAACTTAAATAGAAATTTATTTATGACACATATAGTTAAAAGTGTATAAACGGGTTATACAGGTTGAATTCCTCAACTCAAACACGACACGATTATCTAATTGGGTCGTACCGTGTCGACCTGTTTATGACCCGAACACGTTTAAGGTTAACTCAATCCCACTTAATTCGTGTCGTGTTGACGAAAAGTGTCAAATTTTGCCACCCCCTAAATTACACCATAAATTTCACTCATTTCCTAACTCATATCCACCACCAATCCATAGTACTATTTTTAAAGGTTGATTACACCATATGCCTGAGTGTCTGGGAGCAAGCTGTTAATCTACTTGTGAAGAGATTACTTGGCATGACCCTCATTTATAATAAAATTTTACAGATAAATTATTAAATGGTCTAGAACCATATAATTATAATTAATCACACATTTATTTGTATGAGAGCTTTCACTTGCAATCTAATATTTTTTACAACACTTGTATCATTTGAAAAACACTATATATTTGACCATTAATTCTTAAAATTGATCATGTCACGATCAATTTTTGAGATAAGTATTGATGTTTCGTGAGTCTCATCCTATTACTTGTGTGCCATCACAAGTCGATTAGGGGTCAGGTCAAATAGCATCAGATGAAACTTTGCTCATCACCAGTCACCCATTAATACATAAACCGTATTGACCATTGTTTTGGTCCAATCAGGAATATACATATTGTTTATAATTACAAAAGTCAAAAAAATAATTTATACGGAAACTTTTTTTTATTAAATAAATTGAGTCACCTCTCACCGTTCTCCTTATTTATTATTTTTCTCATTTTATAATTATAGATAACATGTTCACGTGTGATTAAATTATACTCCCTCTGTCCCTTTATAATTGTCCAGGGAGTATTTCACAATTTTTAAGGCAATAATTTTTATTATATTTTATTAGATTGACAAATGATGCATTTCCAAATTTGCCCTCCCTAAAAAATTGTTTTTTCATTTACCATCATTCCAAAAATTTAGCGCCAATCCAAAACAAAATGCAGTACAGGAGTATTTAAAAATTTTAAGAGTTCCTTTTACCTCCATCTCAAAACAAATTCTCACTTCTTTACCAATATAGTTCTGTCACTTACCAAAATCTACACAATCCTTGTGTTATTACACCAAGTAAGTTCATCTCCTTCTTTAACTCTTTATATTTCTCATTCTTATCTTTATAGTAAATGTTTTTGCTACTATTGCACTAGGTGAGTTCATCTCCTTCTTTTATTCTTTATCTTTCTCATTCTTATCTTTATAAAATTTTCTGTCTTTTAACATTTACGTTTTCTTTTTTTCTTTAACTTTATTTGTTCTCAAGTTTCCATTTAAAATGAAAACTCAAACAAAGAACAACTCTATTCGGCCGAAATTAAAAAAGGAACTAACGAACCAAGAACGTCAAGCAATTGCTGACATTCTATTGATGCAAATTGAAAACGAAAAATTGAAAAGGCATACCATACTTGCCATAGCCAAAATATTTTCTGTTTGTGCCAGAACTATTAGTCGAATTTGGCATCGGCTTGTGGAAAATCTTTGTAATGGGTTAGCAATTGATGAATAAGATGTCAACTGGTTTGCAACATACATCAACTGGTTTATGTAGAAGATGTCAACCGGTTTGTAGCATACATCAACCGGTTCATGCATAGATGTCAACCGGTTTATCCACACGTCAACCGGTTTGGTCGCAGCTCGGGGTCCACTTATTTTGAAATTTTAATTAGTTTAATCTTTTAGGAGTAAATTAGAAATGTAATAAAAAATAGTGTATTAATTTTTGAAATATGACAACTAAAAAATGATAACAAAAAATGAGATAATGAACTATTAATAAGGGACCAGAGAGTACCATCCAACCAAAGGTCAATATTGTCGAGGTGAGTAAATAAGTTTTGTCCGGTACAATACGAGTCTCTAATTTAATATACGATGAGCATGGAAGGTGCTATATCAAAACCCACGAAACCCCATCATTACATCCACCACCACCCCCCTCACTGCTGCTACTGGGTAACAATTTTCTGTTAAAGAACAGAATTAAGGATAAAATTGTAAATGCAAACATTTCAAACATGAAAGCAACGCCGAGAAGAACAGACACACAAACGTCACATCTCATTAAATAATCGCCGTCCTTTTACACCCAAATAATCGTCGATTCCACACTTCCCTCGTGACTCGGAAACTCTCAATCGTCCCAAATTTCTGTGATCAGAAGAGCAATTTCGAATAATTATTACATTCCTTGCTCTCACGCTTTCTCTAAGCTCGTGGATTACACTCCTCCAAATTTCGCTCCTTCAAAAATGTAACTTGGACCGGACGGACGATCCAATTGAGACCAAGTCCAACCCGACAGTTTTCAGTTACTATTTATTTCGTTTTATTTTTGGGTTTGGATTTAAAAAGTTTAAAATTTTGGAACTCATTTCAAATTGAACTGGACTTGGGAGGAAGCTTCAGCAATTAAATCTTACACGTATGATTATTAATAATGTTATAATTCGAATCTTATCCAAATAATTAAATTTTAAACGGACTCAATCATAACTAAAAAATTACAAGTTTAATACTAATAAGTCAACAAATTTGGACATAATCCGACTAATCCTATTTAACTTTAATCCAATTCTAAAGTTGCTTTCTATTCTATCCCCACTAAATTTCTAAATGACATACTTAAATTAGTACCGATACTTACAATAATGTTATGAAGAATAATAATGAATTCTATATTGAAATTAATTTTTTATATTCCTTCCATCTCAATATAGTTGAGTATATTTTTATAAATTTACGATATTAAATATTAATAATAAAAATATATACATGTTGCATTTTAAAACACTAAATTGACAAATTGCATTCAAAATTAAACGAAATTCAATTTAAATTTTTAATTAATTTTTTTCAATTTCAAATTCAAGATGTATGTACACAATCTCTTTAGCTTAAGATTTGAAAGATTTTGACAAAAATAAATTTGCACCGGACACACATTGCTTGAACCGGAGTAAAGACAAGTTTGTGTTCCTCACATTTACCCATATATATCTCTTGCCATTTCTTTACAAGTTCTTAATAAAAAGTACTAAATATTTTTCTTTATTTTTAATTTGGGAATTTAGTGTGTGTATATATATTTGTCTACGTTACTGGTTTTGAAGTCTGCGAGTGGCTGAAGACTTTAAAGCCTTTTAACCGTCACGGTCAGTACGTAACCGAATAAGACAAGCTATAACGGACGGTCCGATCAAGCCCTGAGTTCACTCCAACGAAGCATAGCCGTCCATGCTACTCCACTTTGCAAGGTGTCCAACATGGAGAGAGAGTACACGCTGGCACGAAGGGGAGGTGGGTTGTCCGATGTGGCAGGCACGTAGGACTCCCTGGTCCGATGCTTTTCGTCCCGATCCAACGGCTCCGAGCGAACATCACATATAAACCGTCGATCTGGAATGACGTGAGATTGGGAATTTCAGAATTTGTTTTGTATATAAATTAGAAGAGAGAGAGAGAGAGGAGAGAGAGAGTGGGCCGTTTCGGGATGCATTCATATGAACGTGATTTTGCAGAGCAAAAGCTTCAGTTTTTCCGTTTGTTGTGGGAGTGATTCTGAGCTCTTGGGAGAAAATTGAGCTTCAGACTAGTCATTATTGCTAAATATTTTATGCTTCTTGGACATAAAGGTTGTTTAATTTACTGTTTTCTTCTCTTCATTTTTCAAAATTCATGTAAAATTTTCCATGATCTGTTCATTTTCCAATTCTGGGTTCAATCCAAAATGAAATTGTTTTCAAATTGTTCGATTTAGTAGTACATGTTTGTCTTGAAATTAGTTCTGGGTTTTGATGTAGTTGATGAAGTACAGAAGAGTCACTCTCTTTCTTGGAGGAATATTAAATCTGGGTGGGTATATCTATGAAAAAGACTGATATTTTTGGGATTCAGTGATATGGGTTTTGTTCCACGAGATTCGTAGATTAATGGGTATTTTTAATTTGTATTATATTTAGAATGTTCTGTATATGTCTATGCATTAATGAATGAGAGAATATGAGATCCACTGTATTTTTCAAGATTTTTTTCACGGGGTGTGTTTCGTGTTTTTAGCTTTATTTTCTTTCTTGTGAGTTCTTTGCGTGTTCTCTGTGTGTGTATGTATGTGTGGACGCTTTATTTCGTGAAGAACCTGATTCTCTGTACACAAAGGACGAATTCGCTTTTCTTTCATCTCTTTTAACACCCTCTTTACTAACTTTTTGTCTCTGCTTCTTCAGTTCTATGGTGGCTTTGCTCTCTCCGGCGAGGGCTCCACTTTAGAGAGAGAGAAAATAAACGCATATATAGAGAGAGAAAGAACAAAGACACATGTAAGGAGAAAGGAGCGCAGAGATATTTGGCAACTACATTTGATCTATCTTTCTTTGCTTTTCTTAGATTAGGAAGAAAAACCCAAACCCATCTCTCCAACTTTCTCGCTCCTCTTCCGCCTAACTTTTCTGTAAAAACCAAAACCAAAAATATACACATATTTACACACACACACACATATATATATATTCTGTTCTGGTTTTTTTTTTTTTTTTTTCCCGGAAGTTCTGTTCTGGTTCATTACACGTTTTATCAAAAGTTCTGATTTCTCTGTTCTGTCATTGTACGAACTCTGTAGAGAGAGAATGAAGATCTGAAGATCAGTTTTCGACGATTTTCTGTTGTGGGTTCGATCGATTGTGGGCCATCGAAGCTGTGTGCTTCTTCAATTCGATGTTAGTATTGTTATCATCGTCTTCCAGAAATGGACAAGACTCGTCGTGAAGGAGCGAGTCGGTTCTCGCGACAGACTAGTAAGCAATCTTTATCTGCTAACCAATTGATGATGAAATTTACTGAAATCTGTAGCCTATTTCATTGAATTTACGTTTTCTAGTGTTTTGACTAAACAACAAAACTCATAAATGGTTGTCTTTATCTGTATATTCTTTTTGTGATAGACTAGTGATGATAGTTTACAGATGATGCGTGTCTTCTTATTCTCTCCTCTTTTGGTTTGTTTTCTCTGTTCCCTTCTCTTTTGTTTTTTCTCTTACGTTTTTTCTTTGGATTGAAGGTTTGGATGGTGGTGGTGGGAAGGTCATATTTTCGGAGAAATCCAAGAAAGAAAGAGTGAGAAAATTGAGTGTTGTTGGGAAAGTGAGCTCAAGCAATCGAGACAGAGAAATGGGTTGTGTTGGGTTTGATGTTGAAGACGATCTTCTTCGTTCTACTACTAGTATTATCAAGAGATCTAAGCTTCCCAAAAAGGTAAATATTTAATTATTTATGATAATTCTTTTGTAGATCAGGGTGTGAGAAAATGTGTAATTAAATATGCCTTTTGTTCTGTTTCTACAGTTCTTTGATGAATGCAATAGAGTTGATCATGCCTCTGTTCCTCGCAAGCTACGGTCAGGTGTGTAGTTTGTGAATTAAAAAAAGGCTCTATTTTTTCTAATTTTTATTTTATTTCAGCAGATTTTTTTTGGTTAATTAGTTGGAGGCTTGGAGCCCACAAATTTTAATTTGATTCTATCTGGTGGGTCTTCTGGGAAGTTTCCTTATCTTCTATTCTTTGTTGTTTGGATTAGAAGTGAGCTTTACTTTATTTTTCATTTTTCATTTTTCATTTTTCATTTTTTATTTTTTATTTTTAGTGTGAAAGATTCTGTATGTTTTCCTTTTCCATTTATGTATTCTGCAATTTTCATGGTGTAAAGATTCTTTAAATTTAGAACCTTTACCTCTTTTTTAAATTGGATGAAGTTACCTTTCCAATGATACATTAGCTTTAATGAATATGAAAGCTTTTTAGTATAAAAGGGTGGGAAATCCATTCTTGATTTTTAATGATTTGGAATTTTTATTTTTACATTTGCAGCCATGAAGAAGCGCAACCAGGATTCCATCTCTCCGCCTTTTCCAGATTCAAAAAAGCCAAACTGTGCAATAAATGGAACTGAATTACCCAAGAAAAATGGTGTAAAGACCTAAACTGAACTGTCATCTCTAGCCCCAGAATTAGTAGTTTTGTTTATTTTTCTCCATAATGGTGCATTTGGATTTTGACACTTGCAATTGCTTTCACAGCAACAAGGAGACTCGGAGGGGCATTGGAGACAGGTCATTGTGGGGTCAATTACCAAAGATGAGGAAGAAGTGGTAGAGACCTTGTCTGCTTTGGCGGTGTTGTTCCCAAGCAATGACAAAACAAACAAGGCTACTGTAAATGGTGAAATTTCAAAAGGAAAATCTTCAACTTCGCCAGAGGGAGATGATTCTATGCTAGTATTTGAAGGTTTGTTTCTTTACTATACTGTTATATTTGCTTCCCTTGTTGCGGTATGTTAATTTTATTGTTTGTCAGATTCTGCAGTTCACGAAAAGGAAGAGAGAACAATTTGCCCATCAACCACAATTGAGGCTGCCAATCCTTCATCTGATTTAGAAGGATCAGTTCGTGTGACTGAAGAAGTCAAATCTCTGAATAAGCCATCACAGGGCAAACAATTGTATATTGAATTGGATGATTCTGTTCGTCAAGTGAATATCCAAACAGTGTCTCTCTCATCTGAAAGTGAACTTACCTATAAAAAGCCATCATGCAGTTCTACTGGTTTCAATGTGCCATCTGAACTAAGTCCAGGGACAGGGTTGGTAGCTTCCTGTTTTGATACCTTTTCTTTTCTTTTCTTTTTCTGATGAAAAGAATTATCTTTTACTGATTGTCTGGCAGATCAAAGCAGCCCAAATGTGAGGAAACCTCAGCTTGTGTGATAAAAGCAGAGATTGCACTGGAAGCAGTAAGCTTCAATTTTAAGTATAAATCACTTGACCTATCTAGTATGTAAGCTCGGACTGAAAACAATGTCTTGGTGTGTTTGTTTTTTTAGGCTGGAGCTGTCACAAGTCAACATGGATTAGGACATACCATCAAGGAGAGCAAACATAATGGTACACTTCTTGGCTGCATATAAGATGTTATTTTATTCCCTGGATGTTTGGTATTGTGCAGAACCTAGTGGCCTTGTATGGTTTGCGGATCAATATTCTGACACGCGTAAATTTTGATTCCTCTATCTGAAGGTTCAACATTATGGCCTGGCTTGTCTTCAACAGGGGTACATGGCTCTGAGACTCAGGGATCTTCACTGCAGTAATTTTCTTTCCTAATTGTTTTTGACATTCTGGGAAATTCGATTTTATTTGGTTTCTCATGCAATTTGTTTTATCCAGTTTGTCTGCTGGTAAATTTCCTGCTTGGTTGGGTAATGCTGCTTATGCCACCCAACCTGGTTTAGTAAATAACAGTGCTTTAACTGAAAAGGTAAATAGGGTCTCTTGTGCTTTTACTGAATGGATGTTGTTAAGACTCAATCTGGTTTGTCTTCTACCTTTGTTTTTAATAAGCACAAGCATTGATCTGGTTTATGATGCAGAATTCTGCAGTTCTGGCCGATCGAAAGAAGTCATGGAAGAGATGTTCAGCTCATGTTTCCATAAGTTATCTCACGAAGGTCTTACAAAATGCAGAGAGAAAAGAGAGAAGTCCTATGCAGGCTACTCATTTGATGGCCAATGAAGGGTCAAATCAAGTAGTTCATACAGCAGTCAAGAACCTAAATGGGGTTAGAAAAGGTTTGAGTGGAATTGTCTCTGCTGATGGCATAGTTGATTCTGCCACACAGAAGAACCCAGACGAAGTTACAAATGCTGTTCTTTTGCACAAGAGGCTCCTTCAAGATCAGCAACAGACTTCCACGACATCTGGGCTCTATACTCTACAGAAGCAGGTGAGTGAGTTATTGGATCACTGACGTTTTCTCCTTTTCCTATAATGCTGATTAATGTTGGTTTTTGCAGAGTATTGATTTCTTATCTTTGTCGGCTGGAGGTGGTGGGGTGGAAGCTAACTACAGTAGTAATAAAATGGGATATGGGTTGAAGCCATCAACACAATCTCGTGGTCCTTACCTTCAATCGTTTGCACAGAATCAAACAGCAGCTATGCCTCTCTCCCCGCAAAATCATTATTCCTCTACTCCTTTCCCTGACCATCTTTCTGCAGCTGCAGCACTGCAGGTAATTTGCTTTCTTTCTGGCTCTGTTCTAGAAGTACACCCTTGAATGTTGCTGGACAATTTGCATTCTAGACTTGGTTTTGTGAGAAGTTCTCTTTCTTCCTAATCCTGCACTCCTGTGTCAGGATACAAGCCACCTGATGAACGCGATTTATGAAATCGTTGTATTTTGTACCCAATAGTTCACATCAATCATATGATGTATGGTCCAGATATCCGATATGATATGTTTATGCGGACACTTAACTACCACCCTGATGTATTTTTTTTTGCCCCGTCTATATTGTTGAATTTTATGGTTTCTAAATCAGCAAACCAGAATTTAACCACCAATTTAGGTTTCTGTGATACTATTCAACTGCTAATCACCGGTTTATTTCATGATTATAGAATATCAACGTGACACTGTTTGCATTGATTACAGGCTCAGGTACAGGTGCCTCCATATCTTGGCAGCCCATTTTGGGGCTCTCTTCAACCATTAACGACAACCTCTCCAAAACAGCAACAGCAACAACTACAACAATGTATTTGGGCAGCTGAGCTGGCCACACAATACAAGCCTGGGGGAGTTGCTGCACCTCATATTCCTAACTGGCAAAATGGAAGACAAGACCCTTCTTCCATGATACAGTATGCTCAAGCCATCCTCCCACCACCTTGTTCTTCACTAGAAGTACTTGGCCCCAAGTATGGTCCAATCTTGCAACAACAGCAGCAGCAGCAGCAGCAGCTTATTGCCATTACTTCATCATTGCCCTCTGCCAAAATGAAAAGGCAACATCATATTCTCCCTGCAGGCTATGGAGGGAATGGAGGTGGGTTCCAGCCTGATGGTGCACCGTCATTGCAACTACTCTGCAATGAGCAACTTTAAACTGGGACGGGGCTACACTGTTGATTGGGCCAAGGATGGGTCGTCGTTGGTCTATTCTTTTCTTATGTGCATAGTCGAGACTGAATTCCTGAGTTTCAGGAGATGGCGGTAATACATTTGTCAGAATTTTCTCCAACCCGGGGTATCTTGACCACTGAAGGATGGAGAGAAGATCATGAAAAGGGAAGTAGCCAAAGATTATTTAGGTATTAGGTATATATAGGAATCCACTTTTCATGAGAATATATTTAGAGCGCATTCTTGACTATACAAAGAAGCACAAAGAATAGAACCGTATGTTAATATCTTGTTAGTATCCCCAAAGTAGTCTCTTGGAATCTGTGTGGTTGGATCAGGTTCTTCCTTGCGTCGTGTAGCTACTTCACAATCAATGTAGAATTAAAGCAAGTATAGAATGTATTAAATTTGCATCCACCACTCAAATGAAAAAGAACTGTTCCTCGAGCATTAATTGTGACCAAACATGCTTTAACGAAGTGATGTCCCTGATATTTGGTTGGATTATTGTGGATTTCTTAGCATCTTTCGGCATAACCCTAGTATTCTTTTCCTCCAAAAGTGGATGAAAGGAGGAAAAGAGGACTCTCTCTCATGGAATGAACCAAAACGGAAGAGCAGAAAAGGATCCATCATATAAGCCACAGATAGAACACATATATCAAAGGTCTGAGAAGGACAAAAGAAGATTACCAAAAGTTTTTCTTAATCACCATCTGGAAAACTAAAGCTAAGGTGGTTATAGCCACTTGTGGAATCTCACATTTCGACAAGAAGATCTTTTAATAGATCCTGCAAACCTGGGGTCCCCAACGTATGTAACATGAAACCTTGGGTTTTGCTTAAAATCCAAAAGAACATGGGAAACTTGGTAGGGTACGAGATCAATCTACATTGGCTGCATTACATATACTTGGCACATATACAAGGTAATTGTTTATCCAAACCGGAGTACCATCCACTGTTCAAAAACCTCAGACAGCCAATCTTTGCTAGCAACCAATTAAAACCATTGACCAAAATCAATAACAGGAAGATAAAACAATATGAGCGGTTATAATTTGAAGCATTTGTACAATACTGGCTGCAAATGCAACTTGAGAAGATAACCAATTGATAAAAACCAATTCCCAACTTGAGTGTATCTACACATAAATCTCATCCGTGCACAAAAGATGTTTTCAAATTGATTACAAAGATGTAACTAACAGTAACTCGGGAGAATACAAAGGACGGAAGCAAAGTCATTCACATCCCATTTTCCAGTATTTTGACAGTGATATTGGCTGTGATAATGGGTAATCAAATCGAGAAAAAATAATAACTGGAAAAATGCAAAACAACAGAGTTGATATACAGAACACTGCTGCAGCATAATTCTTCACTCCTGCTTCTCCAATTCGCCCATTCTCTCAATGATTGCCTGAAGAAAAAACAGAAACAACAGCCTTAGTGCCAAGTTCCTCGGATAAGAATCATAAATCAGTAATTTAGGGTCTTGGAAAGACATACTGCCACGGGAGTAGATACAGTAAGAAACAAATCTATTCTCTAAAATATGAAAAATAACCACATGGCTAAAGGTAATGTGTCGGTGTGATCCTGGAAGAAACGATAATGATATGATGCCAAACCCTGCATTGCTACTGATATGGTTTGAGAATAGAAGTGAGATTTTTTAAACTTTGATTCCAGATACATGAGAAATACTATAAAGGTGTTTATGGAGCAATGCACACCTTCTTGCTTGTTTCTTGGAGTTCCCCAGCGAGAATGAATTCATCTAGTATCAGATATACCTTTTTCGAAAAGACACGTAATCACAGTAAGGAATGACATGAAGAAAGTATAATGATAAGTAATAACATGTAGGGAACTAAAAAACACTCCACAAACAATTCCAAACTAGACATAGAGCAGCAAAGATTCGAAATTGCATGTCAACAAAGATCAATGAAAATAATAGACCCCTCATTAATGATCAAATATAACATTTTCATATCCATTCTCTAACATATGTAAACATTTTTTAGTCCAACAGTTTCCCCAGGGTAAAATTTTGCATGTTTAGCTAAAATAGGTAACTAAGTGGTAGAGACGAGAATGACACCAATCAATTTTCTCACAAAATCATTTTAACATCCACAAAAATTGGTCAAAGCCAATGCCCAATAGTCTGACCAACTCGTTTGCTAATACTAATTCAAATTCAGATTTGTATCACTTCAATATACTATATTTTATATTTTAAAAAAAATTAAAAAAAAATCTTTGACTAAAATACATCACCCATTTATCATTCTTCGCAAAAAACACTAGCAATATGTCTCTATTAACATGGTCTACTTATGAAAGTGTACAGAGCTGTGTTATCAAAGGCTCAAGGCGCACTAAGGCGCTAGTGGTCCTTTGGAGCCTAGGCGCAAGACGAGGCGCACGCCTGAGTGAAGCAAGGCGCACAATTGAAAAATTAATTTACTATTAAAGCATATTCATATTCCATATAAAAAGCGTAAATATTGTCAAAGGCGCACCTGGGCACACAACTGGAAGTGTTGCGCCTGTATGAGCCTAGGCACGCCTTTAACAACACTGGTACAAAGATAAGAATAACTTTTATGTTCCCAATTAATCGCAAGAATTTTATATATACTAAAGAAACACCAGATGGCAATCAGGACAATAAGGCACCGGAAAGCGTATAAGCTGAAGGCAACAACCCTAATGTTCTCACTCGTCCCTCAAACCAAGGCACCTGACGTTATAAGAAAAAGGAGAGAGCAAGAGAGGATTCCTTTGGCCGACTCTAATCAATGGGATAAACGCGAGGATAATGATCAGGAGGAGGAATTTGGAGGGGGGCGGAAGGGAAACAGAATGCATCATTTGATTACCAGTTGGGAAGTTCAGATTCTGCTTTGAGAGCAAAATTTTTTGACTTCTGCTCTAAAAACTTCAAAACAAGAAAAGTACTTCCAAATAACAACCTCGAGAAACTAAGTTTACATTACATTCACATGTTCCATGGAAGTGTAATCAAGCAGAAGCAATACATATAAAAGACATTCTGGAAAAAACAGAATGCTACAAATAAAGAGACCTATCTTCTAGAGAAGTTCCAGCAAATAAAGCATCAAATCCTAGTTGAACAAATTCACGCAATCAATGCCAGTAAATAAAAATCTAAGCCATTAATAATTTTTGACAATTTTCCTAACATTGTATTACCATGTGTGCTCCCAAGAATATTACTCATTCAAGTCTTCAACGTGACCAGCAGCGATGCTACTATGAAATGACTAAGCCAACAACTTAATGCAGAGCATGCAAATAAGAAAATTTGAAAATTGAGAAGCTACTACAGGTGGTTGTTGATCAAGTTTTAGGCTGAGTCGGGTGTAATTACTACTATTGTTCTTTTTTTAGGGGGGTTGTTAAGCCAAGCGTATCCTAATGCCACCTTTAGAATTATATACTGTCAATACAATCTTATTTACATTTTTAAATTTGAGTTTGAAGATATTTTGATCTTTTCTTAATTTGCTGGACATGGGCTCAACCGCTAAAAGTATTGGCCCATGGGTCTTATCTTTATCTAGTAGTCAAAGTATCAAATTTACCTCTTTCCGATTACCCGATAGCAGTAGGAACACCGCAACAACCTAAATATTATGCAATATGTCTGTCTCAATGCAACTGGATTGGGGATTATTTTATTTTTTATACAGCCTAACTTTAAGAGTGAGTTATTCTAAAGAATTATAAATAAGATTCCGGATTTATTCTTCTGGTTCTCCTCTTTAATCATCCACAGTTACTTTTAGAGGCCTATAACAGCCCTATTTCCATTGGTCTTTTACAGATGATGTATTACATGACCACATATGAATAAGGCAGGTAATCTATTTCCATATAATTGGGCACCAAAAGAAAATCACATAAAGTTACAAACCTTGTGAAAATTGAATACTAAATCTAGTTCGCACACGTTGCTGAAGAAATGATCCAATATCTCCACAAATAAATGGATGCACTCTAAATAAGCTAACTCATTATCTGTTATATCAACGCACAGTGAGAAAAATAATCCAGCATATCTCCTGTAGATAACCTTGTGCGTGCGGAACTGCAAGAAAAAATCAAAGATAATGCATTACTAATTTTGAAAAGAGCATGTAAACAGGAAGAAAACATGATGAAGGATTTAAACAGTCCATGCTAGAGGAACAACAGCGCTGCTTGTCTCGTTAAAACTTGTGTGGGAAATAATATTAGGCTTAACGCAGGTACTAACATATAATTGTGTAATGATATATATTCATGACAGAACTCAAAAAGAGAATGTACAATTATGTATCAGCTCTGGACTAGACCACCAGCCAATTCACCAGTAAGTCCCAACCGACAGTATCATCAATTTTTTGCTAGTTCTTTAACTTTAACTTGGAACATGTTAACATATTTCTGGAAGTATTTGGAGGGAGCTCACAAAATATTATTTTTCAAAGATTTAAAAGTATTTAGGGTAAATTTTAACTAAAAACCCAGAATGTGACATAAAAATTATCCATATTGCCCAATAGTTTAATTGACCTTTAGAATTTTTCTGATTTTCAACAGTTAAACTGTGATTATTATTACTCTATAACTTCCAAAAGAGCACACAGTGTTTACAAATATCACACGGCAAATTCACAAACTAAAAAGCAATATGTAACTCTGTTCCTCACATTCATAAACTATTTATGGTGGACAACTAATAAAGACAATACCTCTCGCTACTCTTTCGCGGAAGTGCTTTGTACAACTCATAATGCTTAAAAATGGATCACCAACACTGAGGTTCAGATTCAAGTCATAATCAGCTTATCACCCTCATGAAGCAACACTATCTCCTTTAAGGTTTCCAGATTTGGACTAAACATACAAAGTCCTAACTTTGATTCTATAAGATGACAAAGGCCTAACTTTTTGAAAAAGTAAGATTCTTGGATCTATAAGATGACAAAGCCCTAACTTTATTTTTTTTTTTTACTATTTTCAATGGTACAAATGAACCAAACTACTCATGAACACAGCTCAGTTATTGAGTCATTAAAAGCTCACTTGTATTCATTCATTAAGTAAACAAGTTGAGCTGGGTCTCAACTAAGAGGTGATAAGCTTCAGTAATTTTGAGGAGTGATACGTAATTTCTGCTATATAAAGTAATAGAATACACTAAATATAAAAAATGATAAAATCTAATAAAGAAATAATATTTTAACAAGCTCACAAGCTAAACTGAGGCTGACTTTGGACCAACCCAGATGAGCTTGAGCTTAGCTTTCTAAGCTCGTCATAAGCCTAAGCCAAATTTAGGTTCAGCACACAACAAATGAGCCAGGCCGAATGGTCTCAAGCTCAACTAGGCACGATTCATTTCAAGCCCTAACTTTAAGACCATTTCCTAGTGTAAATTTATGCACAATAATGTTTGCTCACTTGTGTGATTTCCCACATCACCAGAGGTAGGAGAAGTTCCTGGCATATATATGTGTGGACAACTCTAACACTGTAAAGTGTAAATTTATGCACAATAATGTTTGCTCACTTGTTGTATGATGTCCCACATCGCCGGGGGGGAGAAGTTCCTAGCATTTACATGTGTCGACACCCCTTAACCTTGTAGACGTGTTTTGAGGAAAACTATGAGTACCGAGAAGAGAGTGTGCAAAGAGGACAATATCTGCACTGTGTATGATGGGTCATGATAGATGGTATCAGAGCCGAGCCCTAGCCCAAAAATGTGGTTAACCCTGTAGACACGTTTTGAGGAAAACCATAAACACCAAGAGGAGTGTGTGCAAAGCGGACAAGGTGTAAGGCTCATGAGCACCAAGAGGAGTGTGTGCAAACCGGACACGGTGTAGGGTGGGTCGTGAAATGCTGCTCCCTAAAATGGTTTCTGAAAGGACAAGAGGATTTGAATAGCAGTTCAAATACTTTTTTTAATTCTGTGAGCAATTAACCACTGTATTATACAGTTTTAATGCTTATGAAATCAGTCTTTGGCCCATGTTTTTAATCCATATATCATCCGAATTACACGAGCAAAGAAGGCATAATGTGTGATTAGTGATTACAATTCAGTCCAATAATGAGTCATATTAACCACAAAAGATCATATGTGCATCAATAAGATAATTTCTTTCAAGTTAAAACTCAATGTGAAATTAAATATGAGATTTGGCAATGTATACATAACCCACCTCTACGAAGTTCGTGAACTTGGGATCTCTATTCACAACCAACCGATGAACCTACACAAAGAATATCAATTTCAGAACCCTAGACACTTCGCCCAAAACAAAAATCACGTATATACATATACACAGAGAGCGAGAGCAAAATCAAAGTCCAATTTACCTCGTATTCAACCTTGTGCTTCTCGGATTCCTCGAGAGGAATGTAATACTTGGCGAGACGAGTTTTTCCTTGCCTGTTCTGAAGCAATATGAACCGGATCTGCCATTCAGAAGAAAGAAGAAAAGCCAATAAAAAAAACAAATTAGAGACTTTGGCTCAATTCAACAGTCCGTTTGGAAAGAAGAATCGAAAATTCTTCAGAAACGGAAACGTATTTAAGCGACTTCTCTCATTTTCTTGTTTCGATCTTCCCTAGAACCAAACGAAAAATTCCAAGGAAATCAAGTAATCGAAAGTACCATTTTTGCAAGATCGAAGAACAAGAACTGTGAATTTATCAGCAGCGATCGACGAGATCAATCAACAGGAGAGCAAAAGATTAACAATCAAATATGGATGATAGGTTTAGAGAGAGAGTCGCAGGTCGGAATTTGGAAGGAGAGAGGTCAGAGTCAGACTTATGGGTGACACATGGTGTACTTTTTACTCACACGGATACACGGTGTACGGACTATGGTAGTGGTTGATAATTTTCTTTTCTTTTCTTTTTCCTTTTTTTCAAGAAGATTAATAAATTATCAATAAATTCATTTATGTTTTTAATTTGATATTTAGGAAGAGTTTGTTTTGATGTAAAAAAAAATATTTTTTTATTTTTTGGCATTTGACTGTCCTAAAATATTTAGGAAAAAAAAAATATATTAAAATCTAACCAATATAACTTATTCATTAATTTTATATTATATTTTAAGAGGTGAAAGTGATACCAAATTACATTAGTTTTGTGGGTGCAAGGAAGCACAATCAAATTATAATCAACCCTCATCTTAATTCATTCAAATCATTGGTTGCTTAGAACTATATCTTCTTATTATGACTTCCCCGTAAATTTGTTCTTTGAAAGTGATAACTCAAGCTCCTCTCATCAACTTCAACCAACAATTCCTCTAGATTTGAACAAGAAAAAATATATGTTGATTGATGTACATAGAGCTTCCTTCCATATTTGCCTCAGCTACACATGCCAAGTCGTTTTGACATAACATCATTCGACTACCGAGTCAACAAACAAATCGTAACAAAAAAGCACAATGCCTGTTTACTCATGCAATGCTCTCAACTCTAATTCCAAAAAAGCCCACTGATGGGATGTGAATTACCAATAGATCACAATAAAGCCAAAGCGACTTTCCTTTGTCATTTTAAAAAATTGCGATTTAGTAATTACTTTGTTATTTTTTATCGTAACAATAATCATTTTATTGTAATGAAATAGAAATTTGTACTTACATTTTATTGTAATCGTAATTTTTTTTAATTGAAATGTAACAGGAACATAATTAACTTATGGTGTGTTGCAAATAACATTTTAAAACAATTTTCAATATATATGTTGGGCCAGCTTGACCCCATTTTCAACCAAAAACACAATAAAGCAATTAATAAGAATAAACAATACAATTGGTTCGATAAAATCGTTTTGCTTACCATAGAACAAATTCATTGTGAATAATGATAGAAGATTACAATGAAAACGTTTTCGCTATATATATTTGTCCCTCACTAAAGTTTGTACAAAACCCAATATTCATTTTGAAAAGAAAAAAAAAATTAATTAAAAAAACAAATTTCACAATTATAAAGATAAATTGGATCCCTCGGTAAAAGGTTTGCTATGGAAAACTCACCGCAGTACCAGTGGCCACACTGAGCTCGGCAAGGAACACCCCTGTATTGTCAAAAAATTGCAAACCAGACGGACCACAAACCTAACACTTCCATCAATTCGAGTGATCACATAATTTCAAGGCTCTCCATCTTTGATATCATTCGGAATGCTCAGAGAACAACAGTTGCAGCAGGTCAATTAAGGTCAAAGGGTAGCCAATTGTCTCACTCGTTGGAGAAGACTATGACTATGATTATGACTACCTTAGAGATGCACAGTAGTCGAAGACACCTCTTATTCTCTCTATAATGCGCACTATGCGTGGTTACTCATGCAATGCTCTCAACTCTAATTCCAAAAAAGCCCACTGATGGGATGTGAATTACCAATAGATCACAACAAAGCCAAAGTGACTTTCCTTTGTCATTTTTAAAAATTGCGATTTAGTAGTTACTTTGTCATTTTATAGTAACAATAATCATTTTATTGTAAAGAAATAGAAATTTGTACTTACATTTTGTTGTAATCGTAATTTTTTTTAATTGAAATGTAACAGGAACATAATTAACTTATGGTATGTTGCAAATAACATTTTAAAACAATTTTTAATATACATGTTGGGCAAGCTTGACCCCATTTTCAACCAGAAACACAATAAAGTAATTAATAAGAATAAACAATACAATTGATTCGATAAAATCGTTTTGCTTACCATAGAACAAATTCATTGTGAATAATGATAGAAGATTACAATGAAAACGTTTTCTCTATATATATTTGTCCCTCACTAAAGTTTGTACAAAACCCAATATTCATTTTGAAAATAAAAAAATTTAATTAAGAAAACAAATTTCACAATTATAAAGATAAATTGGATCCCTCAGGAAAAAGTTCCCCTGTATTGTCAAAAAATTGCAAACCAGACGGACCACAAACCTAACACTTCCATTAATCCGAGTGATCACATAATTTGGAGGTTCTCCATCTTTGATATCATTCGGAATGCTCAGAGAACAACAGTTGCAACAGGTCAATCAAGGTCGGAAGGCAGCCAGCTGTCTCACTCGTTGGAGAAGACTATGACTATGATTATGACTACCTTAGAGATGCATAGTAGTCGAAGACACCTCTTCTTCTCTCTATAATACGCACTATGCGTGTTTACTCATGCAATGCTCTCGACTCTAATTCCAAAAAAGCCCACTGATGGGATGTGAATTACCAATAGATCACAACAAAGCCAAAGTGACTTTCCTTTATCATTTTTGAAAATTGCGATTTAGTAGTTGCTTTGTCATTTTTATAGTAACAATAATCATTTTATTGTAATGAAATAGAAATTTATACTTACATTTTGTTGTAATCGTAAAAAAAAATTAATTGAAATGTAAGAGGAACATAATTAACTTATGGTGTATTGCAAATAACATTTTAAAACAATTTTCAATATGGTGTATTGCAAATAATATTCTAAAACAATTTTCAATATATATGTTGGGCCAGCTTGACCCCATTTTCAACCAGAAACACAATAAAGCAATTAATAAGAATAAACAATACAATTGGTTCAATAAAATCGTTTTGCTTACCATAGAACAAATTCATTGTGAATAATGATAGAAGATTACAATGAAAACGTTTTCTCTATATGTATTTGTCCCTCACTAAAGTTTGTACAAAACCCAATATTCATTTTGAGAAAAAAAAAAATTAATTAAGAAAACAAATTTCGCAATTATAAGGATAAATTGAATTCCAAAGTAAAAGGTTTGGTGTGGAATCCCGGTGGTCACACTGAGCCTGGCAAGGAACACCCCTGTATTTTCAAAAAATTGCAAACCAGACGGACCACAAACCTAACACGTCCATCAATCCGAGTGATCACATAGTTTCAAGGCTCTCCATCTTTGATATTATTCAGAATGCTCAGAAAATAGCAGTTGCAACAGGTTAATCAACGTCGGAGGGCAGCCAGCTGTCTCACTCGTTGCAGAAGACTATGACTATAATTATGACTACCTTAGAGATACACAGTAGTCGAAGACACCTCTTCTTCTCTCTATATTACGCACTATGCATGTTTACTCATGCAATGCTCTCAACTCTAATTACAAAAAAGCCCACTGATAGGATGTGAATTACCAATAGATCACAACAAAGCCAAAGTGACTTTCCTTTGTCATTTTTAAAAATTGCGATTTAGTATTTACTTTGTCATTTTTATAGTAACAATAATCATTTTATTGTAATGAAATAGAAATTTGTACTTACATTTTGTTGTAATCATAATTTTTTTTAATTAAAATGTAACAGGAACATAATTAACTTATGGTGTGTTGCAAATAACATTTTAAAACAATTTTCAATATATATGTTGGGCCAGTTTAGCACCCTAAACTTGTCCCAAACGTACATTTCAAGCTCTACCTTCCTGTAATCACATTGTATGTACATCTAAACGAACATTCATAATTTTCCCCGAATATATATGTATCCCAAAACATAAATCCTTGGAGTCCATTCATTACATGTTGTAGAGGAAAGTGCACTAAAAATACAAGTGTAACATTCACATGACTTTTACATAATTACAACATATACATTGATACATAACAAAAGATGTCACGAAAGCTAGTCCAAGTCAATCTAGGCTTGTGGAGGGAGGTCCTCGCCAACCTCTTTTCCGTGTCCTGAAAAAAAATATAATAATGATGGAATGAGCTCAATGACTCAGTAGAAGTTGTCTAAAACGCACTCCTTAATATTTCCGTGAATCCACACAAAAAATAGTTATAAGTAAAAGGGATCATGTTTGTCAGGAGATACAATCATTATACAATGCAATTCTATGAATGAAATGAAATAAAATGCAATGCAAATGAAATGTCAATGCCACTCCCCATTTCCAAAATTCCATCCAACGCCTCAATCGTCAAACCGTTAATGTAACCCGGCCCGAGGTAACTCCCCGGCGCTACGAGAGGAGGATTGGCTAACTATCCCTGACCTAAGGTAACCCCTTAGCGTCATTTGGGGCCTAGTAACTCAACCACGCGCAAAGCAAGCTCCCTACGTCCTCTCTAGGTCCCATTAACGACACAGACACAAGGTAACTCCTTGCCATCCGATTTTCGCAAATAATCTGCTTTCAACACGTTTCCCCAAAAAAAAAATCAAATTTTTCCTCCTTCCAAAAATTATGCTTTTGCCCCTTTTGATACCCAATGTAATGCATGAATGATTACATATTTTTCAATGTCTCAATAGCACATCATTTCCACCTAAAAACTCAATTCAATAAACCATATGTCTAATAACAAGTTATCATAACAGATTTTCATGCAGTGACTTTGAAATTTCAATTTACAAGCAACAACATCACAACCATTAATATTGCTAAAATTTCAATTTAAACACATAAGAAGATAGAGGAGCTTAAAATTCAGTCTCGTGCACATCAACAAAATCAACATTCAATGAGCTAAATTTCAGTTTATAGACATAAAGCACAAGCATAATTGGAGCTCATAAATTCAGTTTTCAAGCACGTAAGCCCAGCCTTAAGAACAACTCAAATTTTCAATTTTCAAGTATCTAAAGCACAGTTATAAGAGCAGCTCAAAATTCATGTTTTAAAGCAACGAAAGCACAAGTATAAAAGAAGCTAGAATTTCAGTTTTATAAATATACTTGGAGAACATATACAATCTGTGTTGTTTTCAACATTAACACAACTTTATACAATCCAATTGAGCAGGCAGATTTTCAGTTCCAATGACATAGAACAAGCAAACATTAGAAAGCTAAAATTTCAGTTTCAAAGTACTTAGTACAGGTTATAATAAAGGCCAAATTTTCAATTTTAAAAATACATCATAGCATGCTTGGAAGATAAGTTTAATCCTACTCAATTTATTAGTTCAATTTCAAGAAGTAATTTACCAAAAGTAAAAGGATGTAGGATTTTAGAGAACTCCTACCTCTACAAGAGCCGAGACCCAGCAGCTAACAAACCCCAAAATCTTTCTAGAAAGCTATCAAAATTAAGCTCCAATAATAGGCTTTAATGGAGGAAAGAAGAAGAAGAAGAAGAAGAAGAAAGTAAAGAAAAAAGAAGCAAAGTGAGGCCTATACACGAAATGGGCTGCAAAGAATGGATGAAAAACTGCCACCTAAGTGTATAGGTGGCACACATGCATACTTGTTCAAAGGTTGACCAATGAAAATGACTATATTGCCCCTCCAACATTCCTAATTCACTACCATGCCAATCCAATACCAAAAGACTATCCTATCATATCCCTACATCATTATATATAGGGTAAATTACACATGCACCCCCTGAGGTTTGGATCATATTTCACCTATATAAACATTTTGGTTTTATTTTTCACTCATATTTAAAAGAATGGTTTAGTATTTCACTTACACCCCAAATATTAAAAAATATTAATTTTTGGTAGGTTAGACTACTTTTGAGGTGTTAAATGACTATACTACCCATTTGACCCATTGTTGACTTGAAAAAGGTTGTTTGAATATTTTTTTTGACAAAATTACCCCCAACATATAGCTCCATCAGCATTACACATCGCCTCTGGCCAATCATACACCTCCATCGCTGCCATTGCCCCACCCTACACCTCCATCGCCGTCGCTGCCCACCCAAAACCTCCATCATCACTGCCCATCCAACACCTCTATTACCATAGCTCCCACCAAAAACAAAACCCAAGGCCGCAAAACCCAACTAAAAGCCAATCCATCTCACTGTACCTTCCCAAACCAAGCTTACAGCTCGTCACCGCCAACAACCAATGCCGTAATCGTCATTAACCAGGAGCCCATCTCCTTCCGTCATCATCCCTTTACTTGAAGCAATCATCCGAAGCGGAGCTCAAACACCGATCAATAAACTAATCAGGGAACAGAGGAAAACGGCCACGACAATGAAAGGGATGAAGATTACCAGATGGCAAAAAATGAATTGCCACCACAGCCACTGTCGCCGACCATGGATTTTGGAGATTGCAGCGCCACCACTGGCGACCAAAGCACCACCATCCTTATCTCTGGTACTTCTCGATCGCCAGAATCATCTCGTCAATTTTGAATCTCCAAAAAATCACGATCGTTGATCCCGACGCCAATACTACCATCGCGAACGCAGCAAGCCGTAGATGTGGAACAAAGCATCGGAAACCATATGTTGTTGCCGCCGATCGTGGAACGATCATCGTCGTAGCCACCGTGTCGCAGATCGTCGTTGTTGATGCAAATCGTCACCGCTGCCGCAAACCATCATTGTTGTTACATATTGTTGCCACTGTCACCGCCACCGCCGAAAATTGCGTTGATGATCGTCAGATCGTTGTGTGGTGTGGTGATTGTTTGGAAGGTGTTTTGGAACTTTGACGGGGAAAGGGAGTGCGTGATTTGCTCTCAATGATTTTCATAATGAACAAGCTTCCTGGTTTCGCCGGTGGTGAGTTGAGAACATCCGACCAACCTATGATGGCGATGGTGACTTAAACGACAGTGGAAGGGGAGGCGATGGTGATGTGCTGCGACGGCTGCCTATTTTGTTTTGTAGATAGATGGAATAAGATAGAGAGAAAGAGGGAGAGAATAAGTGATTTGGAATATTAGTATTACATTAGGGTATTTCTGCCATTGTAGTTTGTAGAAATTTTGTATTAAATTGTATAAAAAAAGTGAGGGTAAATAGGTCAATTCACATATGTCAGAGTTCAAAAAGCAATTTGGGGTGTAAGTGAAAGTTAAAACCAAAATTTTCATATAGGTGAAATATGACTTAACCTCAGGGGGTGTTGGTGTAATTTACCCTTATATATATTACAGCAACAATACAATAAAATAAAATAAATACAAATTATGAAACATCACAGCTAGCTCGACCTTATTTTCAACCAAAAACACAATAAAGCAATTAATAAGAATAAACAATAAAATTGGTTCGATAAAATCGTTTTGCTTAGCATAGAACAAATTCACTGTGAATAATGATAGAAGATTACAATGAAAACGTTTTCTCTATATGTATTTGTCCCTCACTAAAGTTTATACAAAACCCAATATTCATTTTGAAAAAATAAAAATTATTTAAGAAAACAATTTTCGCAATTATAAAGATAAATTGGATCCCTCAGTAAAATGTTTGGTATGGAAAACTCACCACAGTACCAATGGCCACACTAAGCTCGGCAAGGAACACCCATGTATTGTCAAAAAATTGCAAACCAGACGAACCACAAACCTAACACTTCCATCAATCCAAGTGATCACGTAATTTCAAGGCTCTCCATCTTTGATATCATTCGAAATGCTCAGAGAACAACAGTTGCAGTAGGTCAATCAAGGTCGGAGGGCAGCCAGTTGTCTCCCTCGTTGGAGAAGACTATGACTATGATTATGACTACCTTAGAGATGCACAGTAGTCGAAGACACCTCTTCTTCTCTCTATACTACACACAATGCGTGTTTACTCATGCAATGCTCTCAACTCTAATTCCAAAAAAGCCCACTGATGGGATGTGAATTACCAATAGATCACAACAAAGCCAAAGTGACTTTCCTTTGTCATTTTAAAAAATTACGATTTAGTAATTACTTTGTTATTTTTTATCGTAACAATAATCATTTTATTGTAATGAAATAGAAATTTGTACTTACATTTTGTTGTAATCGTAATTTTTTTTTAATTGAAATGTAACAGGAACATAATTAACTTATGGTGTGCTGCAAATAACTTTTTAAAACAATTTTCAATATATATGTTGGGCCAGCTTGACCCCATTTTCAACTAGAAACACAATAAAGCAATTAATAAGAATAAACAATACAATTGGTTCAATAAAATCGTTTTGCTGACCATAGAACAAATTCATTGTGAATAATGATAGAAGATTACAATAAAAACGTTTTCTCTATATGTATTTGTCCCTCACTAAAGTTTGTACAAAACCTAATATTCATTTTGAAAAATAAAAATTTTAATTAAGAAAACAAATTTCGCAATTATAAAGATAAATTGGATCCCTCAATAAAAGTGCGACCAGTCGTACTTAAAATATCTTCAAAACATAGTATCGAGGCAAGCTGGATTGGTCAGTGGTCACTAAAAGTGCGACTGGTCAGACTTCTTCATGGCACTGTCTTAAGAGTAAAATGTGAAAGTGGTCTAAAACAAGTTTTCAGTAGCAAACTTCAAAAAGTTATATTTTGTGAAATGATAAAACATTCTCCATTTATTTCAATATAAAATAACTTTTTTTAAAAATATTTTTCTTTTTTAGGTGATTTTTTTTTTTTTTTTTCCTTTATTCAACAAAGGTCGATATTGAAGTCAAGTACATCGGATGGAACAAGTAAAATAAATTATCAAAAATAGATGACTAAGTTATTTTTGTTAGATTTTTTTTTTCGTAAATATTTTACGACAATTAAATATTAAAAAATAAAAAAAACATTTTACATCCAAACAAATAGAGCCTAACTCTTAATGAAAAAAAAAAAAAAAAAAAAAAAAATTATTTTGATGGCTCTGTACACCGTAGTTGGTCCAAATATATGGGTCGGGAAGCTCGGTTAGTACTGAGAAATTGTTATGCATTAAAAAAAACTATTGGAAATGTTTACCACATATGTCATCACATAGATTTTGTTAAATTAGAGTTTGAGTTATGTTTGTCATTATGAAAGGATAAGGGAAAATAATAACTGTAAACGAAATGAATAACAACAAATTTCAATGGCATCTTTTTTACCCACTAAAATAAAATTAAAGTTGAGAGTTCAAATTTTCAGAAAACAAACCAATACTGTGCAACTGTTTTAGATGTGAGCCAATATTACAGAAGTTTTTAAATTATAGTTTCTGAATTGAGATCAAGTAAAAACCAAATACCTTAATGTTATGTGGATCCAAATCTTTGCATTAAAAAACACTTACCTCGTCTCATCCTTTTTAGCTTTTGGGACATGGTAGTAGGACTCACATTAACAATTACTAGTGTATAATTTCATTTATCTGTATATGCAACAAATAAAAGAATGTGCTGTTAGAATCTAATTGCCATAACATTTTTCTTAAAAGGAAAACAAGATATATATATATATATATGATTTCCGTTCTCTTCTAACTGATATAGCATTTCAAAAAATAAAAAATAAAATCCTTTCTGCTGCTTCCATCTTTTTATGGTGGGTCTTGGTAGTTGCTTAAAGGAATTGATGGGAACAGAAAGAGGCTAGCTGGCATGCATGATAACTTACTCCGACCCACCACCACCACCACCACCACGACGGTACCACCACCAACTCATTCTCCACTCAATCATACAGTCCTCCATGGAATTTCATCTCAACAAGTCAATTGGGTTGGCCAGAGTTTCTTGGTGATGGTCAATAGTTCTCAGAGTTTCAAAATATTTGATTTTGCGGTCCACAGTCCTTACACTATTTATTAGAGTCGCACAAAAAACTGATCGTTGTTTCTATCATTACTCTACTCTACATGAGAATGTATGCATCATTCGGGGAGAACTAATTCCCTTTAGGATAAAAGAATGCACATTGTTGACGCGGGAAGACAAGAAAAAGCAACCAGAAATGTCGTTCGTCCAATAAATTCTTAAACAACCCTGGATTGAGACAATTCATTATATAACATAACACAATCACAAAGTTCTTACAGTGCATAGAGAAGATGATATCCATTATCACCCTTACAAAGTCTTCAAACTGATGCTAAACTACAAAACTTCGAAATGGTTTCCTAAACTGACACTGTTTGCTTGCTGCTGCTTTTTTTTTTATTCTTAATGCACTCATTCTGAATTACAACAGCATTACAAATTCCAAACCCTTATCCTTCAATTAGATATATAATTGGGAGGAAATACAATATACCTTATTGGTAATCAGGCCAGCATCCTGCGTGCACTAGAAATCGTGTGGATAATTGGAGTTCCTGGCAGCCAAGAGAGCAGCCCCAATCCCAGACCCGTCTTTCGAATGTTCTATGACTACATTCTTTGAAATTTCCAATCCTAGAATCTCCGTGACTGCCTCTCGGAGGTATCTTCTGTACTGGGGGTAATGCTCATACAAGCCTCCATCCATGGCTACTACTGTCCTCTTCCCAAATATGAGGCCTTTCGAATCCTCCTCCATCTTCTGGAGTATCCCTACAATTCCTGCACCGGCTAAGCGCCCACCCCTCTTTGCAATAGTGTCACAAACCTCTAAGACCATCTTCCTCGCGCTTAAATTGGACTCCACCTGTTATCAGGATTGGGAGAATAAGGTAGAATATGTCAAAAAAATTTCAAGATAGCTTCAAATATCAGTAATTTATAATCAACATCTTCACATTATGTATCCATAAGTTGTTTTATCCAACATTTTCCCATCTCCAGTTAGTAGCAGTAGCAGTAACGATAACACAAATCATCGTAATTATCTGAAATACATGTTCTATAGTATACTGAGAAGTGGGGACAGATATTATGCCCATGGTTGGCTTTCTCACATAACTATTTCTACACATTGTGCTTCCAGTTCCATCCTCGCCTCCTCTTCCCTCCTCTCAAATTCCATCCAGAATATTTCCATATTCATACAAGAGATACGTTGCATATTTAATATTCTCAGAAGCAAATAATTCCAAAAATTCATATTTAAGGGGGTTGATGTGAGTATTTACCCCAGCTACATTATATAAAATCGATCCAACAGCTTCAAGATCATGGGAATTGTCCTGCTGCATAGCACATATATCTGGAGTCCTACACAAGACAGTTCAGAGAAGACTTGAGTATGAGCATGAACTTAATTCAATTCAATCAAGGATTATCGGAACAGATCAAAAAGTCTGGGAGAATATCATAATACTGAAACATCAATAAGATAAACAGATACCAAATATTTAAGGATTTTTAATACAAACTTACTATTACACTTGCTAAATGAATTTAGTCATTCTAAATCAAGAACACAAGTGGACAAAACAAGGAAAGATGAAAGCGCTGAAGTTAATGGAATGCCACTTCGCTACACGCTTGGTGAGCATAGAGAGGATAAAAATTAAGTCGAACTTATAACTCATTTTATGAAGCTCAATGTTATATTTCATTTAATTGATTCTACATGAAATCAGATACCTGTGAGTCAATAATATACTCCACTTAATTCATATGATTGGGTTTATTCTAGATTAAGCCGTTTGTTATATATCAACCAAGATTATTAAAGCTTATTTTTGCATCAGAAATGCTAGCATAAATAACATTCAAACAAGCTTTAAACACTTTAATACATTACCTCTTTTATGGAGATAAATTTTACAAAATGTCTCTATATTCCTTCTTTCTTTAATGCGTGGATTTCTTTAAAGTTTACCATAATTGTCATTGCGCAAAGACTGCCATGAAATGTAACAAAGTGCCCATAGATGCTAAAAAGATTAGAAGATCAGATTACCTGAGCACAAATGGTGTGGATAACTTTTCTAGAACAGATTCGCCAAATAAAGCACCTACTTTAGCCATCTTGAGTAGAACTCGTCTTACAATTTCGCCGAGGTACATTCCAGATATTGTCTTCTCAAATATCTGTCTCCATGAATATGAAAAAAAATCTGAAATCTAGATTGATTGCAAGTCGCTAGCATGACTAAAACAAGCCAATGATGGCATAGAAGCAAGAGTTCACCTGCTCACCAGGATTAATACTCTCAGCATCCATGTCCCTATCAAACTCAGTTAAAGGAAGACCATTTGAGAACGCTCCCCACTCCGTATTGATAATCTGAATCAAGTGACATTCATTAAAAAGGAAGCCTGCAATCTAAACAATGGTCTATGAGCTCAGAGATCAATTTCACAAACCGTTCTTCCAGATGTAGAAGTCTGGCCCTGTAGTTTAGGAATAGCATCAATTCGTTCTACATAGCATGCATTGGTTCCGGTTCCCAGAATGACAGCAACCATGACATCATCATCCCAGTATCTTGCTCCGGCTAGTGTTCCCACTGTATCATTAACCTAGGTTGCACCAAATTCATAATTCGTCAGCCACCAGAACGAGAAAATAAATAAATAACAGATCGGTCAAGTTTCCAATCTAGCATATCAGAAGCATACCAGGGCAGACACCTGCATATCCGTTCCCAGCCTTTCCATAGCTTCATTCAAACAAGCTACTACATCTTTTCCGGCCTGTAAAAGTTTGTAGTTCTCTATAATGCTTATATCAAGAGAAAGAATATAGGCCATAAATGTTAAGAGAACAACATTTATAAGTACATGAACATCTGCATTGGTTTTACTGCTATTTTCCCGTTGGAGCTTGATACGCATTGTTGGATACTTTTTTAATAGCTTAAGCTTTTAGAGCTATAAGTAGTCTAACAAGGTATCAACACATGCAAGACCAGGTAACGTGTGTGGAGGTGTTGGAGCTTGATAACATTGTGAGGTTCATTCTCTAAGAGCTTAAGCTTTTGGAGCTAATGGTAGTTTAACATTTTTATGCAATGAATATAAGAACTACATCTAGACATACAAAAAATATGGAGCTTTTATTACCTAAAGCATCAAAACCAAATATTGAACAAATAATACCAGTATCTACCCCTCATAGAACTGTCACATTAATAGTGAATCAAAGTGACCAAATCAGACCAAGAGTTGTTGGCTAGGGTATCTCCTCTACCTCACAAAGTGGAGGTCGAGGGTTCACGTCACCATGGGGCATGGAAGCAAGGTGTGCGTGTTGTTTTGCAAAGATCATCCAATATATATATATATATATTGATTTCATGAGTGTCTACATTTTGTATAAAATAAATGCAATTTGTCATAACTCACTGGATAAAAAATGCAACTTAATTGTCATTAGGTTTCTCCTGAGGTTTCCTGTTGATCTCATTTGACACAAACTTTCTATTTGTTATGACACACCTTAACTTGATTTACAGCAAGCAAAGTAGAGTGAAAAAGAACTGCAGGTGGTAAAACTACAATACTTGATAAATGTTATCAAAAAATACTGATTGCTATATTTAGTCTAGATGCTCATAGAATTCAGAAGTCCCTACCGTTCCCGAGACTGCAAAACCCTTTGTCCACTTGATCAAAATGCCAGAATCAATAGAGGTCTGCTTAACGGGGAAAGAGAATGTGAATCCAATCTCCCTCTTCCTTCCATGTGGCAAGTGAAATTTTCCACCCTCCTTTTGTGCAAATTTTGCTAGCCCAGAGGCAATAAAATCAAAAAGCTCCTACAAGCATGGCAACATATATCAATCCACTAGTAAAAATGAAGAAAATCAACTCATAAACAAATAATTTCTTCAATATTATTAGCAAACAGACCTCGGAGGTACCAAACATCAGCTCTTGCGGGATAGAAACCTGCTCGAATTCAGTTGCCACCTCGCGCTCATCCTTCCCTCCTAATTGCACTCTAAGAACCCGAAAATTCGTTCCCCCAAGATCCAATGCATAAAACAACCCTTTCTCATTCCTTTAAACAAAACAAATAATAAACATGAACAATAATTTTAATCTCAATCAAAAAGAAGAAAAAAATATATATTAAAATAAGTACACATATATGATCTTTGGGTAAGTAATAAATTTAACACTGTTCTATGATGCTTTATAATTTGAACCCTTGTTTCTATCTTTCTATCCTCAATGTAATTACATAGCATTTGTCAAAATTAAGTTGAGAAGCACTATTTCCTTCATTTTTCAAGAATCATTACTAAAAAAATAATAAATAAAAATTTAACTAAAAATTAAGGAAAGTAAAAGAAAGTACAACAATCATTTGGAATTTAAAATTAAACAGATCACGTGGAAGAAATTTTACTAATTCAAGTAAAACTACCAACATAAATAAAAATAAAAATAAAAATTTTAGACTCAACTATAAGCAAATTGTTCAAGATCAAGTCAATAACACCAAATAATATATTTTTTTAAAAAAAAAGTAACGAAAAGAGTAGTAATTACCCAGTTGGCAAGCTGTCAACATAGCTGAGAATCATCTTGAGATCACTGCCACCGTCGACGGCGAGGCCGGCACGCATATCGGCGGCCATGGCGTCGGCCACGTGGCGCAGGACGGGCAGAGGAGTGGCACAGTCGTTCTGCAATTTGGTCAACATGGTGGGGACGATGGACACGACGTTAGATCGGACGGCCATCCTCAACCGTGGAACACCCCTAGTCGGTGTTGGTGAGCGGTGACAGAAGGATCGGACGGCTGGTGGGCTAGCGGTGAGCGACATTGTCGGTGGACGGCAAGATCAAGAACGAGAGATTCAAATGGAGGAGAAGAAGAACAAGGAAGTGGAGGAAAGTAATGGTGTGATGTTGAAATGCAGAGAGAACATATTCTCTCTTTATTTCTTGATGGGAAGTCTTGAGCAGTTAAATTCGAAATTATTAAAATAAATTACACAGTTGAGAGCTTATTTATCTATTTATTATTTTTTTTTTTAATGAAGAATGTAGGTAACTAACAAGTAACAACAACCTAACTGGTCGTTACATACAGTGTCCAATTTGCTATATATATATATATATATGCCGTATATCTATATCTAACCTGTATTTGGATTAGAGAGGAGAAGAATGGGACAAGGGGGCGGAGAAGACGATGTTTAACATCTCTGCTTTGTTCTTGTTTGGCGATTCAAATTGGGATATACTATTACTTCGTCTCGGTTTTATCGCAATTGCTTATTTATGTCCCCAGGGAAGTTGGAGTGTTTTTGTTCGCAGCTTATTAGAAATTGGTCATGATTTAATGAGTAAAAATTGATAAATCATTTTACTTCTTTTACAGACGCCTCTCACTTTTCCTCTGATCTCTCTCATCCCCATCTCTCTCTCTCACTCAGCCACTTGGCCCTTCTGCTTTGCTCCCTTCTACGGGGGTGGAGAAGTGACCTTACTTGCCTCTTACATGTTAATAATGTCGGTGTGTCATAATAAGTTTATATATAGATGATTTTTTTCGTTGTTTTTTATTTTTGTATGGCTAGATCTACTCTTATTTGGTTTGTTTCAGACTCGACATGCTAAATCTCTGATTTAGGTCAATTTTTGTTTTTTCCTTGATTTGATTGGGTGTGTGGCGGCGCCTTGTGAATGCAGTTTTGGAGTTGCCTTTATGATGGCCTGACCTTTGGTCACTCCAGTTTGCTGCTCCTCTCCCTTGTGTTTTCCGTTCTAGATCAGTGGTTTTTTTTTAACAAATCTAGAGCATGTTCTTCATTTTATTGTATTGCTCCATGATTTATATACCTTTATCTAGCTTGATTTATACCTCTGTACTGCCTCCTGGCTTGACCTTTGTGCCTTTCAAATGATAAAAATAAAAACAAAAAAAAAATTACTTCTTTTACTTCTCTGTTTGGTTGAGAATTTAGATCTAATGTATCAGCCATTTGAAAAAGAATGATAAACACCGGAATAAATGATGTGGTGGTTTTGTATTTGGTGTACATATAGTTGAAATGGAAAATGATTTTAAAGTATACTCCGTATAAAATAAGAAATGAAAATGATTTTAAATTTGATGTGTTGAACATAATTTCTTGATTGGATATTCTATTTGGTCAATACATGTCAAATGCTACGAAGAAAAAGAATAGTGATATTACAAGAGCCCTCACAAGATGAATTTATCATTCCCATTGCTATTATGATTCAAATCAGTTTAATTTTTCATGGAGTTATAATAGTTATTTAATATTTTTTTATGCTAACAAGATGAATCAACTTTATTATTTGTTTTATTTGTAAAATTTCATTATTACTTGCAAATATCCATATCAAACTTTAATGAGGGAGATAAAAGAGTCAATTCAAAATAAGGTAAGAGTTTAGAAAGGCAGGAAGCAAAGAGAAGAAAGGAAGGAATAAAACATTAATTAGAAAACAGAGGAGACAAAAGGTTGTCATAATTATTAATTTTTAAAATTAGGATTAAAAGTATCATTTTCTTTAAGATTAAAATGCACTCATTTAAAGGTGGAGTGTGAATCCTGACTTAAATAGTGTATGTGTTTCCACTTTCTTATCTCCTTATATCTTGCATTAAAAACCAATCAAATGTATTCCTCTTTCGCTAATGCCCAACTCTTTAAAAATATTACTACCTAAAATTTGAAATTATTATAGAAATACATATACATGTGTGTGTGTAGCAATCACCAAACTGAATTATATTTAAATGTCGAATTACATATATTTGATGGATCATTAATTTTCTAATAGGATTTGAAATACTCTTTTTGAGTTGAGTAAAAATTATTTAATTTGAGTCTAACCCTGAGGGTTCAAATCCTCGTTGAGTGTTTGAGTTCTTATAAGAATATATATATATATACATAAATAATTGATTTTATATTTATGTTTCAATAAAAAAATCCAAATTGATCTTCATGATTCGATTGGAAGAAATTTTATTTATTATTGTCCAGCCAACTAGTTCAAGTTAGGCCAAAAAAAAACACATGAGGCCCCCACTAAATGCACACACAGTCACAGATTGCATCATATTGGACCCCACCATTTTAAGTAGAGTCATATCATCTCTGGTATAAATGATGCAGAACTAGGCAGCCATGTCCACCAAATAAATAAAGTTGCACCAAATATTCAAACCCATCGCAATAATTTCCTATCCTCCCACATAACAACTGTTCAACTAATGTAATCATATTGTGCTTATATCCATATTCCTTCCGTCTTTCAAGATTTCGGTACAGTTGTAGGATTGGTTCGATTTTCGTTTTAGTATATGTACGGTCTCGAATCTTTCATTTATATTTATATTTATCCAGATCCATTACATTCTTACTGATCACTGCTATTGCAAATCATAATATATATATATATATTATATTATAGTACATCATTATATTTAAGTGGGCTCCATATGTGAAGACGATGACGTGTCAGAAATGGGTAACAAGAGCACATGAGATTACTTGTATGGTGACCGTGGATCGTACAGCATGGTCCCACAGAGCGAAGTCCAGCGTGGACACCGAGATTGATGTGGGGCCCTTCATTTCCGTTGGGCTTACAGGTGAAGCGTCTCAGTCCAGCGCCAAATAAATGGGCCCCCAAAATCCGGAAAATCAAGACCATCCATCTTCCCTTCCACCTTCTAAAACAGAATTCTAGTGAAGTGGACGCGAAGAAACGAAGCTCCCTCCCTCTTCCTCCCTCACTCCCTCTTCTTTTATTTTATATATATATATATATATATATATATTGCTTCCTCCCTCCCCCATTAACAAATCAACAACCTGCAACCACCCTCTCTCTCTCTCTCTCTCAGTTTGCTCTCTCTCTCTCATCAAATTAAAAGGGCATCCCTTGTTGCCACCTTGGTTTAATTACCAACATCGTCATAGAGTTGTATATCATTCTCTCTTACTCTATATATACATATAGAAGCTATTATTGTTAATTAAGCATGGGCAGTTGTAGTGAAGATCATGGAATGACATCGCCGATGGCGAAAAAGGCAGAGATAGATACAAGAGCGCCATTCCGGTCTGTGAAGGAGGCTGTCATGTTGTTCGGTGAAAGGGTTCTAGCTGGGGAGCTCTATACCAACAAGCTCAAAGAGGTGAGCTTCATTAAATATCACATACTATATATATATATATATATATATATATATATATATATATATGTGGAGTTTCATAACTTATATAGCATTTTTAGGTCTCATGTTGCTATCTCCGAACAATTTTTCATCAAATGATGCATTTATTCTGTCTTTAATTTATAGGTCACTTTTGACTACATAACACACACAATTATTAGTTTATTAATACTAACGTGATTGATTGTTGTACTTGCTTTGTAATTTAATGCGGTGTTGGAGGTTGGGTTTGGATAATAATTTGGTGCTGGACAATTTAAACTGATTTATGTAGGTGGGAATTACGAACTGATTATCTTATTCACACTTAAAATTATTTAACAGTCATGCACTTTATTTTGCATGCTTCATTTTTTTTTTCTTTCAGAAATTTCAACAACTTCATTGTCGTGTTCATTATATTGCACTCCCTCCGTCCCACAATATATGTCGTGTAGTAAAATTTTAATAATTTTTTATTATATTGATAAGAATAAAGTTTTAAATATGAAATAGTACTCTATAATTAGTACAGTTATTTAGTTAAAAGTATAATTTGAAAGTATTATAAAAAAAATTGTACATTCAATTTTGGAATATGAAATATTTTTTGGGACATTCCAAAATGAAAAGATAGACAACTATATGGAGACGAAGGAAGTAGTAATTTGTTACCCACACAAAAGAACTATTTGATTTATTATTTTTAGAATTTAGCTGGGAACATTAATTTTACAATTCAAATTCTCATCCTGGGGGACCCACTAAGATTTTCCTGAGAATAACTCGCTCACAAGTACAAGTATATTAATTGGCGTAACTAGTCTTAAGACCTCATTAATTATTTGATAAAAAAGGAAAACTAAAATTAAGATGAGGAGAGAGACTAATAATTTACTACTGTACATGTTTTAATGTCCACCCGTGACAGTCTATAAATTAATATCCCCAATGGAAAATGGTAAATGTTTGCTTAAACATTAATACAAGTATTCTTTCGGTTGGTGTCTGTTTCTTTTCCATTTTTAATTTTCTATTATCAGGTGACATAATAAAGGTAATAATAATTAATTTTATATTAATACATAAAATAACAATACAGTTGTAGAAGTACTTAAGCTTTACTAGAGTATCAATCCCTTTAGCTTCTTCTGTCAACAAGACACAGCCAAATCACATGACATGTACGTTATATATATATATATATATATATCACATTAAGGTATTTCCTCCTAACAAGCAAGCATCCAACCTTTATCAGTTCGATGAATTTCATGACCTAAATATTTATATTTTATTTAGATCGAATTAATTAATTTCCTTAATGTTATGTGTGTATGTAGATGCAAAATGGAGAAAGTGAAAACGGTCATGAACCTTCCAAGCTTGACACTGTGACAGCTGAGCTAGAAGAGACGAAGAACAGCCTCCAAAAAGCACAGGAGGAAGGTCTGCTAATGGCTACTTGCCTCTCGTCTTTACAAGAAGAGCTGGAAAGGACAAGGCGAGAGCTCCAAGAACTGAAGGGAAGAGAGACTACCGATCGGATACAAATGATAGAGGTGGAGATTGAAGACCTCAAGTTTGTGGAAGATTCGAAAGAGTTCGAGGTCAAGAAACAATCAAGTACTAATGAAGGAGTACTGGAGTTTCAGAAGAAGAGATACGTAACGTTCGCGAATCCGCCATCTCTAACTCAAGTTATGGTGCCAAAAGGTGATGCAGTGCTAGAAAGGCACCCTTCTCTCAAGAAGAAGAAAAAGAAGCCATTGATTCCACTTATTGGAGGGATTTTCTCTAAGAAAAAAGGAAGCTCCGATGTCTCATCACCGCGATCGAGCTTGATATAAACGCCATGAAAGCAATGGAAAATCTTTCAATTTTTACTGATGTATATCAATCAGCCTAAAATGAAATGAGAATTGAATTATGTATGTATGTGAGGCATAATTAGGTTCCAGGAGAGAGTCCATTTAAGAAGGTATCAATAAATATCATAAGGGACTTATATATATATACTTGTATAATTGAATCAATGTTTCATTTAAGCCACTGGTGTCATATGAGGAATGAAATGTTTTCCCTTCTTCGATCAAATGGCAATGATATCTGCAGTTTTAATTTCTCTGGTGTTTCCTTCTGTTTGTTTGAAGAAGTATACTAATAGTTCAAAGGAAGGCATATATATAGGTTATTTTTGGCCTTAAACAAAAATGAAAGAAAGCAAAATTGTTTGGTATATATAGTCATTGTGTGAAAGTGAAAAGTTTTATGGATGCTGATGGAGTTTTTGTGAAACTCCGTATTTGACTGAGAGTAATGATACTTAGACCTATTTGTTGGATGGAATAGTCTAACCTAATTAATTTATACCATTACATGTCTTAATTAAAGTAGATCTTATTAAAGGTTAATACATTTTAGGGTTTAAGTGTGATTCCATTGTTCTATTGAGAGCTTTACTCTTTTCAATATTTAATAAGAATAACTTTCTAAATCTCCTCTTAGAATTCGGTTACATCCAACTATTGGAAGATTGAGAGTATAATACCTTATTCTATATTTTTCCGTCTTCCTAAGTGTTTATATCATTGATTGTCGATCACACCGATAACAACAATGGATCAACAACTTCAACTTTTTCCCAATCTTCAATTGTCATCTCAATTGTTGTTATTATATGTATCATCTCTATCTTGATTGGAGAGATCGAGTAGTTGATGAATGTCACCAACTGGGCCTCCATCTATCCAACAAATGGTCCTGCCCATTAGAATTTGTGGGCCTTCAAGCCCAACTAAAATCCACTAACAGCCCCACTGAGACCGAACCAGAAGAGAATATAAGCAAAAATATGTTCGTATTAATTCAACCAGCATCAATATTGACAATATACAACAAAAAAAGCACAATTAAGCACAAAACTTCTCTATCTATTTCAGGTCTTCAGACCACAAAATGAAGAGAAGCTATCAAATTCACCACTGATGACTCAACCATCTCCAACCATTGCATATATAAAATTAATTAGAACCAAAGAGAGAAAATTAACAAAAAACATTAAACCATAACATCAGATTTTCTGCCATTTAAAAAACCCTCCTGCGAAGATTTATTAAAGAACTCGATGCAGTCGGCAATGGCTTCATTGTAATGGGAATTGGAGGAGTAATAAGAGCTGCATGAAGTCTTTGGCGGGTCAGGTTTGTCACACGATCTCCGGCCCGGCCCTGTAGTGTTGGCCTGAGACGTCCCTCTAGGAGGGAGGGAGAAGATGAACCTCATGAGAATCTTGCGAAAGCGATCAAACAGCTTCATACCGGAGAAGTTAAACTTGGGAGGTTGAGGATGAAGTACTTGATGATGAAATTCAAACTCTTCAACACTAGTACTACCTTTTACTCGTATAACAAAGCTGGTCTCAGCTCTTTGATGAGGCTTGTACATTCTTTCTATCTCTCTTAAATTCTAATTGCCAGATGGTCTCCGGGAAGTGTAATGCTATGATGTGTGTCTTTGATGAGGGATATATAAAAAAAGTGGGGATGTGAGGGTTCCTAAGCTAGCCTGCAGGTTTATTCTATGTGAGAGAAGACTAGATAGTACTCATCAATGAGAGCATATTTTGAAGAAAAAGATGGTTGTCTCATCAACCATGTGATCAAATCATTTGCATGGCCTTCTCTTGTCCTTACCAAGTACCATTTGTTTATTTGGGCTAGCTTCTTTCATTTATCTTCAACTGTAAGTAGTGTTTTACAAGTTTAATACAAAACTAGCATATATTGATATATATCAGATGTCCTATGATGACTCGCATGAATTCATGGAGGATGTCCCTAATCTCTTACATGGAAGGTGATCAGAGATTAGAGCCTAATAGTGAGCATTAATTTGTGTGTGTATTTACCTAACTGAAAAAGGAGATCGTTGAGACGTGGCAGTGCCGAATGGTAAAGGAGTCTTAAGTACGTGTCCCATGTCTTATGATCTTAGGTTCGAATCCATTTCTCCCTAATTTCACTATTAACTAACTCTCATTGCTAGATCAAAAATAATAATAATAATAAAGAATCGTTGAAATTGCATTGTGGACAAAAAGCCCAAAATGCCATAGTCTGGGGTAGGCAGATTGACTAAGAACGACATAATAATTTGTCAAATATATGGTGGAAAATGGACTTAAAATAGTAAAGAAAATTAGACAACATGCGATGGATTTGAGTTAAGTTATCATTGAGGTGTGACGGTGTTGTCTCAAATCCTATGATCCTAGTCTAGGCCTCCTAGGTTCGAATCATCTTATGGTAAAAGGTCATGCCTTAATTGTCTCATATCCTATGATCCTAGCCTAGGCCTCCTAGGTTCGAGTCATCTTCCCCTAACTCTACTAATTACTAAATCTCATTTTCAGAATCTATAATTTTTTTTACATAAATTAATACATTTATTTGCATGTCAACATGGGTCCAAAAAGGATTTAAAATAGTAAAGAAAATTAGACAACATGTGATGGATTTGAGTGAGGTTAATATATGACTTCAATAGAGTGAAATAACAAAATAGGGTTTGATGTGGTGGATCCCAAATAGTTAGAAAAAGCAAAGATTTAGTTAGTTGAACTGAATTATATATCCTAATAACATATAATCCACATAATTTCATGGAATAAGCAACCTGATTATGACTTGATTCTTAAGGATGACTTGGTGCTTCATATGCTTGAAAAAACATCATTGCCTTTTTTTCTTTTTCTTTTTTTACCAGAAAAAAAATATAAATAAATAAATAAATAAACTAATTGGACCTTGAATAATCCAGCTTTTTGAACAAGTGACGACAAAATGAATTGTACTTGAACCTTTTACCAGTAAAAAAGGTTGGATGGTACTTGAGGCCAATGGAGTTGATAAGTCAAATTTCATTAACAAATTAAATAGCTCATTAATCCACAATTAATCACAAAATTAATCTAAAAGCGGTTGATTTTGCAGATCTATGATTGACTGTCCTAGTTTTAAAACATGAACTTCAAGTGTCAGTGAATGATGACTGACCTTCTTTGTCCCTCAATGTACCCATAAAAAATCACTTGCCCAAAAAACACTGGAAGACAAGTAGGGCCCATATGATGTGGCATATACATGGAAGAACAACCTTAGCTTTTCTTTCCTTATTTTATTCATCTTTTGCCTGCTAAACTCAATTTGAAGTTCAATGTATGTCCATAGAATAAGTGTTTGTGAGACATTAATAATTCACCATCCAAGCCTCTACATATATAGGCATATATAACAGTAAGAATACATGATTATTTTGTAGACACAAATTTCGTGTTGTGCCTGAAAATCTAGGAACAAAAATATAGACAAATAATTAATTTTTTTAATTTTTAAAAAATAGATACAATTCTTTGTAGTCGATTATATTACAAGTAGAATCTTTTTCTGATTAAATCTCCTTAAAAAAATCAGTACAAAGACTTCGGAAGCTTAATCTTGAATCGGTGCTTTTCGTTACATATTCAAGGTTGAAGAAGGTTTGACTGGATTTCTTGTCGAGGGCCAATGGGGCTTGATCTCAAATAGTGGATTGAAGTCTTTTGAAGAAGAACGGCACTTGTGTGGTGTGCTTGTTGTTCTTTGCCTTAAGAACTTCAAGGTTTGAATGATTTTGATGAAGAACAACACTTGTGTGACGTGCTTGTTGTTCTTCACCTTCAAAATTTCAAGGTTTGATGACTTTCATGAAGAAAGACACTTGTTTGGCGTGCTTGTTGTTCTTCGCCTCCAAAACTTTAAGGACGGCACTTGTGTAGTGTGCTTGTTGTTCTTCCTTTTCAGAGACTTTGGAGTGTTGTTTGAGACAAAGATTCAGCCCGAAATGTGTAAGGTGACCTTGTATTTATATGTCAAAGAATTGGGCGTTTTATTTGGAAACTACTCAATGATTATGCTATATTCTCTAAATCAAGATATATTTGTTTCTCTTTATTTGAAAATAATTTAAAATTTAAATTTGAATTGTCACATTTCTTTAAATGTGTGGACCCTTTAGGATTTTGCCAAGGGTCTATTGATGACACATATTCATGAAATTTAATTGACTAAGAGTGTTTGATTTTTTACGAATTGAACGATAATTAGACCATCTTAAAATTTAAATGTACGTCTATATATTTAACAGTTAAAACATATCTAAATTTTTTTATTTTTTTATTTTTTTCTCACTCAAAACTTGAATGAGAAATCATATAAACCATATTAAATATATATATTCACTCAAAACTTGAATGAGCATTGAATTAAATTAAATGATGTATAAAAAAGTTTTTCTCAGGTGAAAAGTATGATTAAAAACATGCAAGTTATATTCATATTGATCACTCTAAAGACCTTAATGTTGAATCCACTGCACATGCAAGTTGGGTGGGTTAAATATGAGAGTGAGAAATGAGAATAAGCTGATTGGAACTAGGAAAAAATAATAATAAATAGCTGATTGGTTAAATATCATGTGGAGATATGAAGGAGAATCTTATTTAGCCCGTCGCAACTTTATATGGGCTTTTCTTTTGTTGAGCAAGGCCCATTTACCCTCCCCCAACAACTGCTAAGCCCATTTTCTGTAGATGGACTCTGTATTGGTCCTCAATATAGGAATAGTATGTGGGCTCAACTTCTCCATATTAATCAGCAAATAGAATATCTTTTTTTTTTTTTCTTTTTTTCCTTTCCTTATATTTTGTTTTTGTACCTTGTTTTCATTTTCACTAGGGCTTTGTTTGGTTAGGTGGAAATACCTAGAAAAGAAAGGAAAGAGAAAAATTTTAAATTTTTTTAGAGTTTGGATAGATAGAAAAAGAAACCTAATGGAAAATTTAGTTTTCCGACGAAAATTTAGTTTTCATGTGAAATAAGCGCCTAATTATTTACCGTTCCTATTTTACCCAATAATTTAATCGTGCAAAGTTCTCTCTAAAATAACTTCTATTCTGAAGTAAGTTCACGCAAAATAAATCATGTTTCTAAATAATTTTTTTTATTTTTTTTAATCGTCTGTTCTATGTTGCAATTCTAATCACTCATAATCCCGTATGAATATATATATATATATATATATATATATATATATATATATATATATATATATATATTATATGGTGAAATATTAGATTTATTTCCCAAATAGTAGTATTACCTCTTCATTTCTATTTTTTTTTTAAAAAAAAATTTATCTTAAACTAACAATTAGTTTTACCTAAAAATATATTATGAAGCCTTATTCTAAATATAAATAATATAAATAATATAAATGAATATAAATAATTATATATTTGAATTTAATAATCCATCATTTTACTTCATAAGGGTAGTTTTAGTATGCATAATCACTTTCTTTTTTAATTTCATACTATTCAAACTAACAAATTAATATTTTTCTATAATTTTCTTGGATAGATTTTCATGCTAGCTAAATACATGCTAGAAAATCTCTTTTATTTTTATTCACTTCACTTTTTTTTCACTTTCTAATTTTTTTTCTTTTCTTGTTTATTTCCATTTAGTCAAACAGAGCCTAAAAGATTTTAATCCACTCAAAACGGCGAAGAACATTTCATCTACATAAAAACATTATCCACCATTCGAAAATCCAAGTGCATAGTAGAAGATTCTAGTTACACATCAAAACGAAAATATCAACATCCAGTGAATGGGAAGCTGTTCCGCTCATAAAATTAATCATTTTTCAAATCTAATACTTCATCTATTTGTTCATCAATAACCATGTAGCTTCACTTCACCCCTTCTGAAACATAAACATCTGTATGTGGTACCTCGTAGATATCTTAATATCCACTTTACTGCTTCCTAGTGTAGCTTGCCCGGATCCTTCATGAACTTGCTTACTACTCCCACTGCATATGCAATGTCTGGTCTTGTGCACACCATGACATACATCAAACTTCTAATAGCTGAGGCATATGGAATTTTAGCCATGAAGTTTTTCTCATCTTCCATTGCAAGCTCCCACTTGCTAGCATCTTCAACTTGACATGCTTCATCATAGCATTCAGGCTCACCATCATCTGTGAGCAACATATAATCCAAATATTTCCTATTCAGTACATGAGGTCGCGTAGACCTTTTGGGTGCAGGCATAAGAGTTGGAATCTGCGGTGAACTATGCTCTGTGAGTTCTGGCCAAGAACCCTCATCTGTCTGCTCCGCATCAATACTTTCTGGATCATCATCCAACTCAACAAACTCAGGTTTACTCTGTACAGGACAAAATAACTGTACTGTATCTCTATCCTT